AAAAAAAAAAAAAAAAAAAAAAAAACCAAAAAAAAAAAAGAAATAAAACTTTTAAAAATGATGGCATCAGAAAGTAGGCATCAATATGAAGAAAGGCTTATGCAATAATGTGGGTTAATTGAAAAAAAAGCAAAAGAAGCTATAGAATAATACAACTGTAATCATCTATAATATATTAAATGACTGAAAGGAAATCTACTGAAACCTTAAAATGTTTGCATTTTATGTGCTTTTATAGTTTATTTTTTTACCTTTTCTATCATTTCATGAATCAATTTCAATATATAAAGGTAATTTAAAATTTGATAGATTTCATATGCATAAAATCATAGGGTATCAGTTGATAGGGAAAACAGAAGGATAGCAAGCAATTTTACCTGTGTCTCTCACCAGAGATAAAAAGTGAGAACTATGGGCTGAGGATACAGCTCAGTGGCATAAGCACCTGCCTGGCAAGCGCAAGGTCCTGAGTTCGATTCCCATTACCAAAAAAAGTGAGAAAAACTTTAAAACTCCACTCTTTAGGTTCTTAAAGCCAATTTTCCATTTAAAAGAAAACTGAGCTTTCAAGTCAGTGCATGCAGCTCTGGACCTGCTCCCCTGGGGTTGTAAATTCAGAGAAAGGAAGGGCAGGGGCACCCACTCACGTCCGTCTGGAGATGCGCAGGCGCTTCTGAGTTGTCGTTGATCCTGCGAACGCTGTCATAGTGCTCTCCGTACCGATAGGCGATGTGCAGCTCCCTCACACTACTTTTATCAGTCCCTCGAATCTGCAGACACAAGGGGGAGACACTGAAGAGGGTCTGGACGACGTCACTCTCTGGGTAGAAATATCTTCCTGGATTGCCAGGAGCCCCAGTCAGTAGACGCTATACAGATATTAAATAGGAATATGGCTGCGATACATCGTTACCAACTTCAGAATTATCTCCCACCCACCTTGTGTGCTTCAGTATGCTTTACTTGATATGTCACAATATAGGAATAAACCCATATGAAAACATTCAAAACCAGGGGCATATTTACAATGAAGCTAAGTAAACTTAAATTTCAACTTAAGTTTCTACCCTGTCCTTAAAATTAGCACTTTCTATCAACTATATAGTGAGACATATTATCAGCACCAAAGTTGCAAAGTTGCATCAATTTCAAAACAAAATTATATACAGTAAAACGGCATTATCACACTGCACAGCCCGGGAAGTACCACTCACAAGGTACTCCGTGTAAACAGCACACAACAACTGGGCCATGCAATACAGAAGCCTGTTATGGTTGATACATTGTGTCAACTTGGGGAGTCTAGAGGTTTGGCTAAGTAACTCAGCAGGAAGCCAGGGTGCTTACTTTGTATACATCCTGAGCCCCGTGGATGAGGAGGGCATGGAGATTATGTGAGAGCTACACGCCCCTTGGGGGGGTAGCCTGTTTACAAAGTAA